TGCTCGTCGGGCTGCCGTGGCGGGCGGGGGCGGGGTGGGGTGGGGGAACGGGACCCTGCTCTCCAGGCGATGAAGACGTTGGTGAGACCTTCCAGGCCACCGCGATGAGCCAGCCTTCTCCAAACCGCCGGGCAGGTCTTCCTCCAAGTGCTGTGGTCTGCGAGGAGCTGGTGGAGAGGGGAGCCTGGGGAGCCTTCGTGCCCGCCCAGCCGCTGCGGCTCCTCGGGAAGGGGAGATGGCGACGCGCCCTCGCCCAGCGCTGCCGCTGGGTCTCTGGGCACCCGGAGCGGAGGGGGAACAGCCGGAGAGCGAGTAAGGCATGGTGCCAGCCCAGCGAGAGCCGTCTGTGCCGCCGCGGCCGGGGGGAGGCCCGGGCGGGCCAGCGCTGCCCCCTCGGCCCCTCAGTAATCCTCCACCCAGCCGTTCTCCGAGATGAACGCGTCTATCACCTCCTTCATGGCGAGGTTGGGGATCAGCTGGTCCTGGGTCAGGGGACTCCGCGTCACCGGATCGAAATGACCCACGCGCTGCAAGGGAGGAGACGGCCCCGAACCGGTTACTCCACACGCCCGCCCTCGGCCCCGGGGCACAGGCAGCCACGAGCCCGGTGCCGTGCCGGCGTCCGGCAGCAGCCAGGCATCCGCCCGTCTGCCAGCGGGGAGGAGGGAGAGCCCCCCTCTGAAGGTGCCTCCCAGCCGGACGAGAGCGGGTCAAGGCACAAGACCCCTGCCAACAGCCGCCTCCGCTTCAGGCAGGGCCTGGCAGCGCCCGCCGCCTCCCTGCCTGCCCTGGCACCTCCGCAGGGAGCCGCCCGGGCAGGTAACTGGGACCAAACCCAAGGAGGCTTCTGAGCCCTTAGTTGGGCGGGCGGCTGCCTTCACGCCCGGGCAGGGCAGGGCAGGCAGGAGACGGGCAGAGGAGGACTGCGTGGAAGGTCCTGGGAAGCCCCCGCTGCCCCCGGCCTGGTGGTACCTGGAGATGTTCCTCGATGTCCTTCCTGTCGTAGGTGATCCCGCTGGGCGTGATGCAGGGCTCTCTCATCAGCTCAAAACTGATCTTCCCGCACAGGTAGTCAGGGATGTCCCGCTTCTGGCTCGAGAGAAGCAGAGCTGGGTCAGGAGGGGCTGGGCGAGCCAAGCATCAAAAAAAGAGAGGGCTGGGAGGTGGCGCCGGTTCAGAGGGGGAAGCGGGGAAGACGGAAGAGTTGGTAGCACGGACTAAAGCAGGTTTAGGGCGAGCAGCTCTGGACGGGGAGAGATGGGAGCGCGTGCCGGAGCCCACTCACCTTCCTCTTCTCATCCACCTGAGAGAAGAGCTCGTCCATGTCCGCCAGGTATTTGTCCTGAAAGAGAAGGCCTTGAGGATGAGGGGACCCCAGTGCTATGGGTCCCCAGGGAGAGAGCCCCGAGAGCCCACGGGTGCTGTGGCAGGCAGAGACGAGGTGGCAGGTCCTCGGTGGCCCCTCTGCCTTCACAGCCCCTGGCCGGTGTTTGCGCAGCTCCAGGCTGAACCGCGTGGCAGGGGTGATCCAGCTTAAAAATAACCTGCCTTTGTGGGGCTATTTTTATCCCGGGATTAGTCCCCTGCGCCGGGCCAGCACCCAGACCCACACGCAGCCGAGAGCCGCTCGGGGCGCACCGGCCTCGGGGGCTCTGGGAGAACAACAGGTACAGCAGCTGGGGGAGCGCAAACAGGCGTCACCGCTGCCGGGCTGGGACAAGAGGTGACAGAGCAGGGGCAGCCCTTGCGGGGGGGGGGACGGGAAAAATGAAGGCTGAGAAGCCGTGCTCTGCCCCGGGGTCTCCTGGCTTTCGCCTGCACAGCCGCAGCCCTGCGGCTTCCTCAGCCGCAGCAGAGCACGGGGATGAGGATGGGACGAGGAAGCCCCGGCTCGTCTCCCAGCCTCTGTGAGCAGCCCTGGCCCCCCCGCTCACGTGTTTGGCCTCGATGCTGGCCAGCTGAACTCGGCTCCGGCTCTCGTCCACATTTTCTTCCTGCTGAGTCTTTCGGCACTCGGCCAGCTCCCTAGGACAGAGCGGGGAGATGAGAAGCGACGGAGGGACGCTATCGCTCCCTTCCCTGCTGCCGCTGCCCTAGCTGCAGGGCTCTGCCGGCACCTCCAGGAAGGCAGAGGCACCACGCGGAGCTGTGACAGCTTCATGGCACTAAAAAAGCCTTTATAGGTGCCACCGCCACCACCGCGCGTTACCTCTCCTTCTCCGCCATGATCAGCTTGGTCAGGTAGGAGTGCAGCTCGTTCTCCTGGTTGATCCGCTTCTCCTCGATGCTGTTCCAGCGTTTCTTCTTGGCGATGCGCAGGGCGCTGGGGATGTCGTCCCCGAAATTCAGCCGCTGCTCCTTGGCGAGGTTGTAGGCTGGGGAGGGAAAGGACATCTCAGAACTGGCACCGGCTTCCTTCCCGCCATCCCTGGCCCTTTCCCGGCGGGGACGGGCCAGGGGTAACACCGGCACCGTGCCCGCTCACCTCTCTGCAGGTTGGCGATGGCCTCATCGTAATTCTCCATCTCCATCTGGCACTGGCCCAGGAAGAAGTGAGCCTTCACCGACTGGCCGTCCAGCTCCAGGGCTCGCTTGCAGTCCGCCAGCGCCTTGTCGTGCTGCTGCATCTTCAGGTAGCAGAGGGCTCGGTTGGTGTAGTAGACGGCCACCAAGGGGTTGCGGTTCTGCAAGGGCGAGACCCGGGTTATGGCCGGTGACGGCAACCGCTGGCAGGGGCGAGATGCGGTGACCAGAGGGTGACAACAGGGTGACTCGGTGAGCCGGCTGCGCAACGCCGTCATCCTGGTGAGAGCCCGGAGCGCCGGCACGGGCTTGCACCCCGTGGGGAGCTGCCGGGATGGATGGGGGACAAGCTGGGGCCAGGTCCCATGGGGCAGCCCCCCGTCCCCAGCCAGAGCAGCCCCCCCCCCCACACACACACCATGCCCTGGCCTGGGGGGGGGAGGGGGCTGGAGCCCTCTACCCCAGGGTGGGTCGGCACTACCAAAACCAGCCTGGGGATGTGGCGGGGT